AAAAAAAAAAAAAAAAAAAAAAAAAAAAAAAAACACACACACACACACACACACACACACACACACACACGTTACACCTTTTTTTTGTCTCCTTTTTACGCTTCTTGTTGTCTCCTTTCTGAGGGTTTTATCGCTGTCTCATTTGTCTCTTTTGTCTCCTTTTCATTGTCTCCTTTTGCTTTCTCTCTCTTTCTCTTTTGTCTCCTTTTGCTTTGTCTGTCTGTCTCTTTCGTCTCCTTTTGTTTTGTCTGTCTCTCTCCCTTGTCTCCTGTTTGTGGATCTATTGCTGCTGCTGTTCGTGCTGATGCTGCTGTTGCTGCTGCTGCTGCATCTGCTGCTTCTGCTCTTCCTGCTGCATACGCTACTTCTACATTTGCTGCTGTTGCTGCTGGAGCTACTGCTGCTGCAGTTACTGCTACAGCTGCTACTGCTGCTGCTGTTCTTTCCGTTACTGCTGTTGTATATGTTTCTGCTCCTCCTATATCATCTGCTGTTGCTGCTGCATCTGCTGTTGCTGCTGCATGTTCTGCTGCTCCTGCTGCATCTACATCTGCTGCAGGTTGTGCTGCTACTGCTGCTGCTTTATGTGTTCCACGTGCTGCTGCATCTGCCGCTGCATCATGATCATCATCATCATCTGCTGTTCCTGCTGGTGCTGCTGCATGTGCTGCTGCTGCTGCTGCTGCTGCTGCTGTGTGCATGCATCAGACCGATGGGAGTGGGTGTGTTGGTCTAGCCGGCAGGCATGTTACAGCGACGCTTCTCCTCTTCATCGGTATCCTCTTTTGGGTATAAGTTTAGTTTTGCCTGATAAAGAAGATAAAACTTTGTTTTATGTTCGATACCACGACAAAGAAAAACAACATAATTTATTTTTTAGAGCCGTTGATAGAAGCAGAGATCTTTGGTCTGATGGTTTATTCGAATTCATTGATAAGGTAAACATTATTTTTTTTTTTATTTTTTTTATTTTTTTTTATTTTGTTTGTTTTGTTTGTTTTGTTTATTTTATTAATTTGTTTATTTAATTAAATTAAAATTATTAATTTTATTGATTTATATCTCATTTGTAATGGTGTTTGTCTCTATGTCTCCTTTGCCTGTCTCGTTTACATTACTTATATATATATATATATATATATATATATA